GCTAACCACCACCATTGGCCCGCTCATGAAGGCCACGAAGATTTGGACAATTAGTAACCAAACCTTCCTCAAGCGGTCGGACAACACCGCGGCTGCCACTGCCGAGCCACGCCGCACTGCCCCTGCCGCTGGCCCAGCCGGACCCCAGGCCCGAGCCAACCTTGCCTCCATCGCCGACTCCCTCAACCGGCTCCACCTCAAAGTTGACGGGATGGGTGGCTGTCTTGAACGACTCGACGTGGCTGTTCAACGCCAAGGATACGCGATGAATTCGTACTTCCAAGGCATCAACTACGTCCCCCCACCGTACCACGGCACGTTCCTTGGGCAAGTGTAAGGTGACGAGGACGAAGCCGATGATTCCTACGCTCCGTCAAGCTCCCCGGATGAAGACGAGTTCGACGATGCCATCGATGGCGATGAGATGGACGTCGACGACGACGAGGAGGAAACCTAAGACGAAGACTAGGACTCCCCTAGAATTTCTATCTCTTTTACTTTATTTATCCTGTTTTTTAATGCTTCTGTTGTACTCAGCTATTTCCCTTTATTAAATAAAATCATCTCGTTTATCTTTTTGTTAATGTCAAAAGGGGGAAGAAAAGGGCTATGCATATACTAAGGGGGAACGTCTCTCTAAACGAGACCGTTTGATTTTAATCCAAGTAAATTTTTAAGCACAAATCAAGGGGGAACTTTTTCACAACTTTTGAAAAACAAATATCCCTTAGTATGCATATCCCCGTCTTGTTTGCCATTATCAAAAAGGGGGAAATTGTTGGAACACGGGTTTACGCCTTCGTCGTACTAAACTGTGTTCGTTTATGACAGGTTTTGATAATGCAAAACCGCCGCGACATATCGAAGCTAAAGTGAGCAAAACTAAGGCGAAGGAACATGGCATGATGACTTGAGAACCAAGAACCCAGAATCAAGAACGAAGAACTAGAATTGTATTGAGTCGGTCTTAATGTGATCAAGACCGGCACGAAATTCCAAATCTTGGCTCTCTAGGCTTAATTCATAAAAACAAACTCCTTTACATATTCAAAAATACCTTTCTTAAAGTTTAAACTTGGTTCAAAACACTTGGAGTTCGCCCAAGCCAAAAACCAAGCCATCCGGCGTTCGGCTTTCAGAAACCGGCGTTCGGCTTTCGGTTTTCGGCATCGGTTTTTGGCGTCCGAACCAACCAAGTGGTTTTTAACTTTTTATAACTGGTTTTTACTTCTGGGCATATTTAAATAGTTCTCCAACAAAAACGCCTCAAAAACCACCTTCCGGTTTTTGGTCGTTTAGTGAAAACCATGCAAAACGGCACGAACTTGGCTAGCCATGGTTTTCAACTAAATGACGTGATTTTTAATATGTTTTACTTGATTTCTTAGCAAAATGCAATAAACAAATGTTTTCTAAACTTGGTTTTTATTTTGGAGAACTTGCGTTTTTGGCATCGGCTAACGGCGTGACTAAACCAACCATGGTCTGGCTAAACCAAGCCGAACAGCGATGTTGGGGTAATCAACAGCGCTGTCTGGCCTGGGTAACCAAAAACATGGTTTGGCGTTAAGTCTTCCAACAACGATGTTGGACATCAGACATCGCTGTTGAGCCAAGGTTGGACTCCCAGAAACTTCTGGAATAGCGATGTAGGCTCCCCTACAGCGCTGTCCAACCTAAGCCAAAAATATAGTGCATTGGCAGAAAGTTTTTGGACAGCGATGTTGACCCAGCAACAGCGCTGTCAGGCCAAAACTTCCATCTTCAAAGGCAAACCTAAACAGCGATGTTCTAGCGTTGGTCTATTATTCTAACAACATCCATGTCAAATTCGGCAACTTTTTTGATGAATTTAAAATTTGGCCAAAAAAACATGATGGTACCCCTAGGGCTTGAGGCCAAAACTAAAAAAATAATAATTAAGACATTATTGACATGTCTATTTGGCATGAAAATTTCACAAAGGATGGTATATGTAAATAGAAACATTCATGTCAAATTTTGCAACTTTTTTGATGGTATTAAAATTTAGCGAAATATTGTGAAGGTACCCCTTGGAGCTCGAGGGCAAAACTAAAAAAATTATAATTTAGATATTATTGACAAGACTTTTTGACATGAAGCTTTTACAGAGGACTTTACGTTCAAATAGAAACATCCTTGTCAAATTCGTCAACTTTTTTGATGAATTTAAAATTTGGCCAAAAAAACGTGATGGTAACCTTAGGGCTCGAGGACAAAACTAAAAAAATAATAATTACGACATTATTGACATGTCTATTTGGCATGAAAATTTTACAAAGGATTGTATATGTAAATAGAAACATTCATGTCAAACTTTGCAACTTTTTTTTATGGAATCAGAATTTAGCCAAATATTGCGATGGTACCCCTTGGAGCTCAAGGGCAAAACTAAAAAAATAATAATTTAGATATTATTGACAAGACTTATTGACATGAAACTTTTACAAAGAATTTTACGTTCAAATAGAAACATCCATGTCAAATTCGGCAACTTTTTTGATGAATTTAAAATTTGACAAAAAAAACATGATGGTACCCCTAGGGCTCGAGGCCAAAACTATAAAAATAATAATTAAGACATTATTGACATGTCTATTTGGCATGAAAATTTTACAAAGGATGGTATATGTAAATAGAAACATTCATGTCAAATTTTGCAACTTTTTTGATGGAATTAAAATTTAGCCAAATATTGTGAAGGTACCCCTTGGAGCTCGAGGGCAAAACTAAAAAAATTATAATTTAGATATTATTGACAAGACTTTTTGACATGAAGCTTTTACAGAGGACTTTACGTTCAAATAGAAACATCCTTGTCAAATTCGTCAACTTTTTTGATGAATTTAAAATTTGGCCAAAAAAACGTGATGGTACCCCTAGAGCTCGAGGCCAAAACTAAAAAAATAATAATTACGACATTATTGACATGTCTATTTGGCATGAAAATTTTACAAAGGATTGTATATGGAAATAGAAACATTCATGTCAAACTTTGCAACTTTTTTTTTATGGAATCAAAATTTAGCCAAATAATGTGATGGTACCCCTTGGAGCTCGAGGCAAAACTAAAAAAAATAATAATTTAGATATTATTGACAAGAATTTTTGACATGAAACTTTTACAAAGGATTTTACATTGAAATAGAAACATCTATGACAAATTTGGCAACTTTTTTGATGAATTTAAAATTTGGCCAAAAAAACGTGATGGTATCCCTAGGGCTTGAGGCCAAAACTAAAAAAATAATAATTAAGAAATTATTGACATGTCTATTTGACATGAAAATTTTACAAAGGATGGTATATGTAAATAGAAACATTCATGTCAAATTTTGCAACTTTTTTGATGGAATTAAAATTTAGCCAAATATTGTGAAGGTATCCCCTGGAGCTCGTGGGAAAAACTAAAAAAATAATAATTTAGATATTATTGACAAAACTTTTTGACATGAAGCTTTTACAAACGATTTTACGTTCAAATATAAACATCCATGTCAAATTCGGCAACTTTTTTGATGAATTTAAAATTTGGCCAAAAAAACGTGATGGTACTCGTAGGGCTCGAGGCCAAAACTAAAAAAACTAATAATTAAGACATTATTGACATGTCTATTTGGCATGAAAATTTTACAAAGGATTGTATATGTAAATAGAAACATTCATGTCAAATTTTGCAACTTTTTTTTATGGAATCAAAATTTAGCCAAATATTGTGATGGTACCCCTTGGAGTTCGAGGGCAAAACTAAAAAAATAATATATTAGATATTATTGACAAGACTTTTTGACATGTTACTTTTACAAAGGATTTTACGTTCAAATAGAAACATCCCTGTCAAATTCGGCAACTTTTTTGATGAATTTAAAATTTGGCCAAAAAAACGTGATGGTACCCCTAGGGCTCGAGGCCAAAACTAAAAAAATAATAATTAAGACATTATTGACATGTCTATTTGGCATGAAAATTTTACAAAGGATGGTATATGTAAATAGAAACATTCATGTCAAATTTTGCAACTTTTTTGATGGAATTAAAATTTAGCCAAATATTGTGAAGGTATCCCTTGGAGCTCGAGGGCAAAACTAAAAAAATAATAATTTAGATATTATTGACAAGACTTTTTGACATGAAGCTTTTACAAAGAATTTTACGTTCAAATATAAACATCCATGTCAAATTCGGCAACTTTTTTGATGAATTTAAAATTTGGCCAAAAAAACGTGATGGCATCCTTTGTAAAATTTTCATGACAAATAGACATGTCAATAATGTCTTAATTATTATTTTTTTAGTTTTGGCCTCGAGCCCTAGAGGTACCATTACATTTTTTTGGCCAAATTTTAAATACATCAAAAAAGTTTCCGAATTTGACATGGATGTTTCTATTTGAACGTAAAATCCTTTGTAAAAGTTTCATGTCAAAAAGTCTTGTCAATAATATCTAAATTATTATTTTTTTAGTTTTGCCCTCGAGCTCCAAGGGGTACCATCACAATATTTGATAAAATTTTGATTCCATCAAAAAAAGATACAAAATTTGACATCAAATTTTGAAATGTAGCGTATGTTAGATACCAGAATGGTGGCAACCCGATTCGCTAACCCGTGGATCCGGGTTATGCGGATTGGGGTGTTACAGTCATATCCTTACATTGGTTTCTACTTATTTTCTACGTTAGTTTAGTGTTTCGACTTCATTCTTGAGAACTGAATCTTAATGGATTCTTGTTGTACCTGAAACACTTAAACAAACATTAAGCTCTAATATTGTTTGTTAACATCAAAACACAAGGCTTAGCAATGGCACCCCTAGAGCTCGAAGCCAGAACTAAAAAAATAATAATTTAGACATTATTGAAAAGTCTCTTTGACATGAAACTTTTACAAAGGATTTTACATGCAAATAAAATCGTCCATGTCAAATTTTGAAACTTTTTTGATGAACTTAAAATTTGGCCAAAAAAGTCGAGGCCAAAACTTAAAAAATAATAATTTAGACATTATTGTCAAGTCTTTTCGACATGAAAATTTTACATAAGATTTTACATGCAAATAGAAATATCCATGTAAAATTTTGAAACTTTTTTGATGGATTTAAAATCTGGCCAAAAAATGTGATTGTACCCCTAAAAGCTCGAGGCCAAAACTAAAAAAAAATAATTAAAATGTTATTGACAAGTCTTTTTGACAAGAAATTTTTACAAAGGATTTTACATGCAAATAGAAATATCGATGTCAAATTTTGCAACTTTTTTGATGAATTTAAAATTTGGCAAAAATATGTGATGGTACCCCTAGAGCTCCAAGCCAAAACTAAAAAAATAATAATTTAGACATTATTGACAAGTCTTTTGTTAGAATAAGTGCCCTTCACTAGAGGGGGTGAATAGTGAGGCATGAGGTTGTTTATAAATTTCCACGGAATAAAAATCGAAGGGATAAAGTAAAGGGCGGAATAAAAAAGCATAAGGAAAGAACACACTGATTTTGCCCTAGTTCACCACAACGTGTGGCTAGTCCAGCCTCGCGAGAGATTCTCTCGAGCTACACTACTTCCGTTAAGCTTACGGGTGCTTAACAAACTCTTACAATA